AGGTAACAGCGTTCCATGAACCTTTGGCGTTTAGTCATACCAGCCACATGACCACAGAGACATCTTCAGACAGCACTGGGTCTCCAGCTTTGAAACGGAGATGAGCACCTCCCCCTAGAGTCGGGAATGACTAGCACATGTGTGCAAGGGGAATCTTTACCTTTAACTTTTATTTTATATTTGGATAAACTAATAAAAATTTGAAGTCTGAAAAGAAACAGTAATCTGTTTGTTACAAAGTAAGCTTGTCCATCTGTAACTCCAAGACACATTTCCCCCCCTCAGTTGAAAGTTGACAACTTGTGAGGAATTGGATTGTTCTAGATCCTGAACTCTTGACTGAATAATGAAATATAAGCATTTGTGGCCAAAATATAGATTTCATCATACAGATGCTAGTGATTCTTTTCATTTAGTGAGGGGGCAACCGGCATTCCATCTTCTTTTGTTCCCTTAAATATTTCAGAGATTTTAATGTACCTTGAACCCCCATTAGCAAATAAATGACAATAAGCCCATAAATCCTACATTTTAAAAAGTTAAAACTACAAAGTTAAAAGTAAAATAACAACCCTAAGTGATAGCAACAAAAATCATCTCTGGGATAAGGCAGTTCTCAAAAGCTTTTGATGGAGACATAGCAGCTGACATAAAAGCTGAGAGCTGCTGTTCTACTTGAAGTGTGTGTGTGTGTGTGTGTGCGCGCGCACGCATGCGTGCATTGGAGGCTTTGTACATGAGTGGATGACTGGACAAAATGGCTCTCTCTCTGAAGAAGCAGTTGTATCATTCGGAGATATTTCTACGACTGTAATGATCACCAAAGACCAAGTGGCTATGGGGACTAATAGCATTTTATAGCATTATTCAGCCATCACTAAGACAATATAAAGCCTGCCTTCATAACATTAGATAGGCACAATGATCGTTAGATTATTCCAGAATCCAGTAGAAATCACTAATGATGAAATAACCAAGAAACATCTTAGATTAATATGCCAGCTATAAGCATTCCTGAACAAAGATTACTTTGACACTGATGCTTTCTGGCTCCAGGCCATGAATGACAGAAAAGGCTCTTAGTTACCATAGTGGAATCTCTTCTCTGTTACCATGGAGCTACCCTTCTCAGTGGTCCAGAAACTGCAACAAGCACTGCGAACATAGCAGTAAGATTATTGACTAGTGCACCAAGGGCCTGATGTACAATACAGCTACTGAGAAAATTGTTCTATTTTTCCTTTCCTCCTCCTCCTCCTCCTCNTGGAAAATAAAAAAAGTATATTTTTTTTTAAAAGGTGGAAAAATATGCCAGGTTTTAGTCATTCACTACCATAGAAGGAAATCTAGTGATAGCTGTGATGCGAAAAGAAAGTCTAGAAAGGGAGCCTGCCAGCTCAGGAAAAAAGTGACAGCATTTCAATAGCAATGGGGGGAAATCTTTAGTTTCCACCGGGGTGTCCATAGAATATGGTTGAAAAGTCAAGATGTATGTTACATATAGAAAAAGGGCAGAACTTCAAGATCACAGCTGACCTTTCTGACCATACCCTGTGGACATCCCTAAATCATACAGAAGCAAGAAAGCAGTGCCTTGCTTTGTCCTGTGACTTGCCAAGTGTTTGCCAATCCTGCATTGTTACAATTTCAAACAGCCCTAAATAAACAATTATATTTAACCATGGTTTATTGAAAAATTTACAGTTGGCTGGCTTGGCACAACATGTGAAGACATTAATTCTAGGAACCTGAGTTTATGAATACAATACCAGCTCCTTTTTTCTGGGAAGCCTCATGTTGAGGAGTCCTTGGTACTCTCTGAGCTTGGTTGTTTCCGTGCAGATGTTTCATTACTTAAACTAGGTAATGTCATCACTGCTAGTCCATCATTATGTTGTCCTTCATCTTTGGTTACTTTATTGAAAAACAAGAATTTGGCTTTTTCTTTTCTTTTCCTCTTTCCCCTACAGTTTTCCCTCTTCCCTGTTTCCTCTCCTATTTTCCTATGACTTTCACTTTTTTTGTATTTCTCTATTTTATATTATATTTGTAGGGATATGATAGTTCAGTGGCTAAGACGCTGAGCTTGTCAATCAGAAAGGTTAGCAGTTCGGCAGTTTGAATCCCAAGTGCCACATAGCAGAGTGAGCTCCCATTACTTGTCCCAGCTTCTGCCAACCTAGCACTTCGAAAGCATGTAAAAATGCAAGAAGAAAAATACGAACCACCTTTGGTGGGAAGGTAACAGCGTTCCATGAACCTTTGGCGTTTAGTCATACCAGCCACATGACCACAGAGACATCTTCAGACAGCACTGGGTCTCCAGCTTTGAAACGGAGATGAGCACCTCCCCCTAGAGTCGGGAATGACTAGCACATGTGTGCAAGGGGAATCTT